ATTTCTCACATTGCGATTAATAACCACCTGCCAATCAAGCAATTTTTGCAGTGAAGGTCAATTCTGAATGCTGCATGTGTACATTCTTTGAAATGTGTATTTAAATTATCAAGTTCATATGTTCTGGTAAAAATACCATTCACAATGGGTAATGACTTTATTAAATTATATCTTTAGAGCTATAAAGAAAAGAGCTACAACTCTATAATTTTACCTCTTGGTGAGGCCCTTGCTAACAAATTCGTTTTCTAGTTTCGTACTGATTTTATGTCAAGTGGATATATAAAGGTAAGTAATCTTAAATAAATCCAGTATAATACACGTATTGCAATTTAACATTCATGCAATATGTTTTTCATTATCATGTGTCATATTAATGCGGCAATTTTTTAGATCACATTAGATTAACTACCTTCTTTTTTCATTACAATACACGCATGTGGAACACTTGTCAGATAGAATGTAATGTAACATTAAGTTTTTCTCTCCATTGTACTGAAAAAGAAATAATTCAATAGCTAACTTCTCTATCAAATATATCATAGTATGAACACTCTTTAATACATAAAAATGAGAGCACAACTTTGCTAAATTGCTCCGGAATAATATAATTTATATATAATATTAACTTTTTCGTGTCATACCTACATTCCAGCATGACAGAATATTCACTTAGACTTATACTGATACATAAAATAAATCTCGAGGTAAACTCCATTTATTGATGTATAAATAAATAGTTAATTTTTTATAGTGAACTTTTGGATATTCTAATCTATGAAATCATTACTAATGCATAGAATTCAATTTGGTTTGAATTTTATATATAAGAAATCAATTTATTCTTCATAATCATTTGAATATTACGTCTTGAAGTAATTTCCTCCGTTATGCCTGAATCTTACGTTACATCATTGTTAAAGATATATATCCTTTGTTAGCAGATTACCAAACATTTTTTTGTTTGTTTTTAATGCCCCTTTGGCAACCACTTGCCGTGGAGAGCTATAATTTGACTTCCGGTCTTTTGAGCAGTGAGGTATCTTTGTCATTCAAACACCTGTTGCAACACATGGCCTTGATTAATAGGTCTCATCCAATCGATGGGTGGATCGTTACGTCCAGCTTTTTATTCGAACCAGTGACATAAGAATCAACCCCTTACTCTGCGTCTCTAAATCAGAAGCTTTAACAAATGCGCCATTCAGGCGACTCAACATGTACATCGTTATAAGGAAGAATAAAACTGAAGAGGGACTGCACGTCTAAGCAATTATATCGCTGTATATTTTCTTCTTAAATTGGCACACACTTAAATAAATATTAGTCATTGTGGATAAAACCTTCTTAATAAAATTAACATTCAACAAGACGTTTCTTCGGTTGAGTATTTCAAGAGCCAATTTGTTCAGTGTGACAAGGACTCTCAGATATGTATGACACATTTTACAACTGCACATCTGATTTATCATTTGCGTTTTTTTCTTTGAAACCTTAAGTTTTTTCAACATCAGTAACATTCCTCAAAAATGTTTTAACAATCTCCTATATTGCTTTGAGGAAAAGCATACCTTCTAAGCGACTTCATAAAAATAATTTAAGGAGTGATTAGATTAAAGCAATTCTATTGGTAGATTTAATTAAGTTGTGACAAAATTAAGATGTGATTACTTCCTGTAAATATAGTAAGGAAGCGTTGGGTGTTGTATAATGTATACACACGACGATTTAGCACATCCGTGCTATCATTTTCATGACAGATATGTGTGATATTTTATTTCTTTGCGTCTGAGTTCTTACTCTTGGTCTTTTTTAAAGAGGGATTTCCTAATCTTTCTTAATTAATTTAAATGGCTTGTAATAGCACATTTGCATTGGTAACATTGGTTTACATTTGCACATTTATATGCAAACAAAATGTTAATTTCAAATCAAATAAGTATAATCGTATATAAACAGTCTTCTATGTACATGTATTAAAATATATGTAAATGTCTATAAATTAAGACACCTTCAACATCTGGTGATTTAATTTTTCTTTGCTCCCTGTGCAGTAAAAATTTTATAATTTTACTTAATAATTCCGCTGTATGACGTCGTCTTTTTTCCTCTAAGAATGAAGATCACGGGAGTTGTTATGTGGCATTTTACTACTTCTACATTTTTTCTTCCGTTTCCTCATTCTATCTTTTGTTTGACTTAAAGCACGTCTATCTTTTTGTCCCATTTTCTTCCTCCCTCAAGAAATTAGAAATAACTGCTTTCTCCTTTTTTCTCTGCATTTTCTCCTACAAGTGGACGGACAAAAACGTAGTTAATTTTGTATAAGAGAAAACTACTTTAATTTTTTTCCCCTCCATTTCGAAATTTTTCCTTTAATGCATTTTCCTAACATCCTTACTTTTTTATATCAGTAAAAGTATATTGAAAATATAATGGCTGTTGCGCAATCTTGAATATCCATGTTATTATGATAGCAACATGAATAATATTAAGGTTCTTGAAAATACACAATCACTGAATCAGGTAAATACATGTATCTCATCCTCAACTCTATCTATGTGACAATAGTTAACACTATACATGTACGTATTCATAAATTGCCACTTAAACACGTGTTTTGTTTATTCTAGTCATCTATAGTCCGTGATAGTCATCTAGTTAATTTACAGAAATATTTATAGAACGGCACATTATATAATTAGTGACTCTTGACATTTTTTTTTACGGGGAGAACCATTAAAAGGTTCTGATTCGAGAAGTATTATGATTCCCACTCACCCGCCCATTGCTCTGTATAGAATTTCATAGATTTATACTTTGCTGTAAAATTATTATTTTCTGTTTTGTAGATATTGGAGATCCATGCCTGAGGGCATTTAGAAAACGACGTGTGTTATAAGATAAATAAATTGCACTTTCAAAGCGGCGCTTTGCATCCTACTTCACGGGTTCGTTTTTATTTCATAAATACCGTATGTTCGTTTGAGTGGAATAAATAGGAACATAAATATATATATAATTATTTTATTGAGGTCAAATGTTGAATGTCCACTTCCTAGTTCAATTTAAGATTTGGAGTGATGATGACAGTGCTTATTATGATATAACTAAGCTTTTCAAATGTTATGTTTTAATGGGCCGACTATTACTTTATATAAATGAACAAATATAACACATCCTTTCAATGTGAATATATAACAGCCTGCATCAAATGAAACATTTTATTTGGAACAGCAAAGACAAAGAAATTATCATCTGTTAAAGTTTTGTGATTTGGAAAAATAAAATGTATTATGTATTTCAGTTTAATTAGTAAAAAAAATGTTATTTTTAGAGCTGAAAAGGGAAGTATATTGTCAGATGGTAGGTAATATTGTCTTGGTTTTAACTTTGACAGGGAAGTTAAAAAAAACTCTCACACTCACACGTGTCAGGAGATTATGGTAGAGCTAATTAGTACGTGATAGTATTTAAAGTTTATTTTCTTTACGGTACCATTTTCATGGTGATCAAGAATGGAATTTTTCATGTGTTTTTCAATACTGCTATACGTTTGGATTAATAATCTGAATCATGTTGTCTGCTATGGTAGGTATTAATAACTATAGTTCAACTAAAGTTTCATAAAACTACAATTTAGTATTGGACTAAGTGTGTAATTAACACAAGAAATGTGCATTAAAGAAAAGAAAATTACTTTTAAGTAAATGAAATAATGGACAAAAAGTTAAAAAATGCCCAAACAAATAACAGTAGTAATAATTTGTTTGAGCTACAAATTTTTTAGTGTATATTGTTTAATGCCCCTCTCGAGAATTTTCCAATCATAGGGAGACGCAGCCAGTAAGTTAAATGTGCTGTTTACAAACAGATTTATAGTTTATACTTTCGTGTCTTATAAAGTTGATCTATATATATATTCTATTGCTATATAAAATCCACCATTTTTACATGTATGTCTTGCGATAAAAGACTACACTTCGTGTATATTCCTTTTCCGTAGGGAGACTGGTCCAGATGCTAAAATACAATTAGTATTGCATCTCATTTTTTCACATGCATATTACTGCAGTTATAGAAAATAATAGAATTAACAACAGTTTTAATACACTGTCTTGCATACAGGAACTTATATTTGCAGATATTTGCATTTTAAAAATATAGTAATTCAAGATAAGGATGACTATTGAACAATTAAAAAAAAAATAAAAATGTCACTTAATTTATGACAAAATTTTGATGCCTGTTGTTCCTATAAATACTCTTCCTGTTCTCTTTGTGTAATTTAATTTCAAATGTAACAATGTTTTTTTTATATTATAAGTATTGATATGTGTGAGAGATTAGAAACAATTAAAGGTGGACATTTTTTAGCTCATTTGAAAAAGCAATTTTAAAGATCTCCGTACAGTTATGTTTTTAATTACATTTTTACTTATCTGTAATCCTAAAAAAATACACATACATGTAATAAATACATAACAGACTGAAAATTGTATTCAGTTTGCATATTATAGTCTATTTGATAAATTCTTATCTTCATTTGCATTAAAAAAAGATACTTCCCGAACACTTTCTACGTAATTATGGATTTAACAGAAAGCTACTCATCCATACATGAAATGTGCATCCATACTACTGTAATTTGTAATGATTTAAGACGGTCTATGATCGTTTATTTAAGTCAAGTTTCCAGAAACGTGTATGATTTTTAAGTAAGCTGGTAAGTGGCATTTTAAAAAAATCTAGTGGTCATGCACATAAATAACCGTCGCCAAAACATTTTCCGCCTGTAATATTTCCTACCATATTTTTTATTTACAAAGTCTACTGGTCTGAAATGGCCACATTCGGCTATAGCATGGTCGGATATTCATACTTTATATTCATAACCCGAGCCCTCTGTCTAAGGAGCGTCGTTTATTCAATGTGAATAAAGTACGGTTGCTTCCTTTATATATCATATCTGATATGTTTAAAGTCTAAAGTAAAGGATAAATTAGGTATCAAATTATTAAATAATTGTTGAGATATTCATCATTTTTCTTACTGTACGATAGAAATCTTTATATCAAATCGCTGAACAAAAGGTACATCTCCTCCCTAGCTTGATTTCACTGGACAACATAACAAACATCATATTTAAACATCTTCCTTCCTTCACTGAAACAATTAATGCGTCACGAACATGGAGAAAACCTCTCATTACATACGCTATTTACATAGAACATGTTAATGAATTTATGTAAGCAAACTTTAATTCTGATCTGCACTGTCGAATGAGTAAACTAATTTTTTCTTCAATATTTGGACGGTTTACTGATTTTAGACTACATAGAAAATGTAAAAAAAAAAAAAAAAAAGACAAACATAATGACTTTGGATTCGTTTTTCTCCTCGTCAACTTCCCAAATATATAGTCATACCAGTTTAAGTTTGTTTATGTTAGGAAATTTGATTCTTCATAAAATAGATTTAAATATACTAATCCTGATATATAATGGATAATTTATTTATATATAAATCAATAAAATCAGTTTCAAGGGTGTGTCAAAGAGACGGCCTGAGTACCTTCTTTCCTTTCTGCCATAGGTGGGACGCAAAGTTGTGTTTTTTGATATTTTAAAAGTATTGTATATATCTTAATGAAATATATGGATAAAACTCAAAACAAGCAGAGAAGTGAAAAATGTTGATTTATAAAGAGTTTTGATAGTTCTTTTGGATCTAACCTCTTAATGTAATTAATGCAATAACTTTCGTACTTTATTTATGTAACAACCGAATGTCTATCTCCCTCTGGTCTCATGATTATTTTTTTCTTTGTAAGTGTAGTGCGTATATGGTATTTGATATTTTGCGAAAACCTGTTACAATTTAAAACTGTTTTAGGCAGAATTCACGTAATTTCACGTATATCGAAGTTATGAAGCCACCGTTTTAATATACTTATGTGAAAATCTAAATTCATTTACAATGAAATGCATCTTTTAGTAAATAGATTATCGTGCATATGTAAAAGGAAAGAGGAAACTGAAAGATGAAATATGCACTACATTTAAGAAATTATATATTTACTTCTAAAATGACACACAAACTTCAACAAAAAGACTAATAAGTGAGTGAGAGTTTATACAATGTATTCTGGATAAAGACTTTATAATATATTTAACATTGAAATGTTTTTTTTTTCATTGCTTGAGCATTTCAATAGCCCATTTGTTCAGTACGCAAAGGACTCTTAGAAAAATACGTAAGGCACATTTAACGACAGCATATTCGTTACATGTAATTCTGAAAAATTTTGTTTTGTTTTTTTATGATTACACATTTCTTGAAAACAGTGCTTCAATCGCCTTTATCGCCTAAATCGCTTTAATGATAAGATCAAATTCTGAGCAACAAATAAAAAAAATAAAAGAAATAATAAAATGAAAGCTATTACATTGATAGAATTTATGAAGAAGTTTGACAATGCATGTTTTCAGCATATTTGTTTAACATTTTTGCATTCATGCCGATGTAGCGCAACAGTGCTACAATCTCCATGACCTAAATGTATGATTCCTTTACATGAGTTTTTCATTTGGGGTCTTTTGATAAAGGTTTTTATACCCCAGCTTGAAAAGTGGGAGGGGATACTGTAATCGGTATGTCTGTCCGTCCTTCTGTCCGTCTGTACGTCTGTCTAGCTGTACGTCCGTCCGTCTGTCTGTTACGCTTTGGGGTACCCATCTTTTATCCGCGACTCCTCCTATACCCCTGAGTAAAATTTAATGAATCTTTCACAGAATCTTTATTACATAATACCATTGTGACCTCTTACTTTTTGATCCGACACGTATTTTAGGTTTCCCATAGCAAAACATAGACATTGTCATTCTATTCTTAGCTCACACACAGCGGTTTCTGAATAACATTTGATACAGTTGTACCACGAGTTATTCCTCTTTACACTTTACCGTACAACAATTAATAGCAAAACATGGACATCATGGGAGTCGTGGGTATCATCTAGTGAGCTCATTGCTCACTGAACCTCTAGTTAGACTGAGAAAAACCAATTTGTTGCATTACCTCAGTTATTGCACACAATATGTGTCTATTTAACAAATGAGTAGATTGGAATATTTCCAGGCTCCTATGTGCTCAAGCTCCTTGTTTATATCTATTAATTAAAACACCTTGAATGCTTAATTATACATTTTTCCCTCCCTGCTGCCAATGCAGTAAAGGTCATATTTTAAATAAGAAATAAAATATAATCTAAATGTAAAAGAGACATTTTATTGCCTCTGCTAAAGATTGAACCCAGGGCTTCTGCTTATCAGTACAGTGACTTTAGATTGACTTTTAATAAAAATTATTTTCGTCCAAGAACATTTGAAGAAGAGAACGTAAATATCCACATTTTTTTAAAGATAATTTTAAGGTGGAAAGATATAAAAGATAACATGTAGATTTAAATAATTCATCTTAAAATTTCTGTTTTCGTTTTTGATTTCTTTTGGTGTGTTATTCTCCCTGTAGATCTGTTTATTTCTTCTCTTCCTGAAAAGCGGACCATTCACGATAGCTCAGTCGGTAGAGCGCTCGCTTCGTGATCGGGAGGTTGTGAGTTCGAATCTCGTCAGCGACTGACTTAAGTCGATAAAATATGGGTAGCAACTGTTCCTTCGCCATGCGCTCGGCACTTGAAGTCAAAGTTGCGGGTCCTTCGGGTGAGACCTTAAAAACCGAGGCCCCGTGTCAGCGGCAGGCGTTGGCACGATAAATATCCCTCGCCGCTCAATGGCTCTGAGTGCAAAGTAAAGGTCAAAGTTTGAAGCCCTTCGCCGGCATACGGAGACGTGTGTGAGTGAGTGTGAGTGAACGGTACCGATAAAGTAAGATATGACATTTTTTTTAAAATCCTTGCACAGCGCGGTCATATATGATTGAAGCAGTCTTAGATCAATTCAAGTTCTTTAATTCAGAATTACCATGTTAGCATCAACAATCCATTTCTTATAATAACGATTAAAGCAGTATGTAAACTATTTACTCAATACGAAAGATGGCCGCTGAATATCTAGTTCGACTTTTTATAATCACTCAGATTAAACTAGTCTAATTTTTGAGTTTTTATATGCTTTTCAAAAATTAATTTGAACCATTAAGGTTGAACGTAAAACTGATGATCAGGTCAATGCACGTCTACAACAATAATCAAGCACATATACCTATTTCTATGAAACACATGATTTAGGTGAGAAAATAAATTAGAACTCATTTTATAACTTGTAAAAAAAAAGCTCTATGTTCATATTTCATCATACATTTCATCAATTTCTAAATAAATGACATTATGCTTGTTGTTCTAATACTGGCTTCATCTATAATATAGTTTATTAAACTAGGATGTCTTTTTGGATAAAATAATTATTCAATCTTAAAATTTCTTATTTTTATTTTTTTTTCTTTTTGTGACAATTTTTAAACTAATTTCTTTAAAAACCATTATCTTTGATAAATAAAAAATTTGGATTTTTTTTAAACACGCACAGTTTATGATACAATTATGGACTTGAGTGTAGGTCGATACATGTAAAGTGATAGCGACCGAGCCTGCGAGGTCACTATCATTTTTTGTGTCTTCGGTCAATATCAATTGCCATGAGTCCTTATAACCACATATTGACCGTTCACTGAAGTCCATACTAGTCACATTATACAATCACTCAAAGTGAATGCACTTACACAGTCCTAACTAAACGGACTTGGCTGTCATTACGTCACCATGGTTAAACACACGCTTCTTATGCCCTGTTCACACGACGAGTTTAATTCGTAGTAAATTAATGCGAAGTAAACTAATCAGGGATGGGGTCGATTACTTTCAAAAGTAATCGATTAAATTACAATTACTTTGGATTTTAAAAGTAATCGATTACAAGCTGATTACAGACATTTTTTAAAGTAATCAATTACATCTGATTACTTTTCATTCATGTAATCATGATTACTTATGATTACTTTAGATTACATTAAGTTTTGTTTTGTTTAATGTTCAAGAACAACAGGATTTTTTTAAATTCAATCTTCTCTTTTTAAGTATTATTTATATTTTAGGTATAATAAGGTAGAATCCATAAAAGTTTGGTGGTACATTTCTTAAGATAGATGCATAAGATTTATCAAGTTCATGTTTTCTATCTTAAGTACAAGTAAATATCTGTGTTATTTTTTAGATAGAAATAAAAAGAATTTATTTATCAAACTGAACATAATTATAGTTATGCATAAATGGATTCAATAGAGAACTGTTACACAAGTACCCTGGTAATTGACCTTCTTGATGAGTGGTGAGCTTTTCAATTAAGCTGCCAATTACTAGATGTTTTAACAAGAATTAACACTTTGACTGGGCAAGCATGGATAGTTCAATAATTGTTATAACCCAAGCTGACCCAACTTTAGTATACCAGTGTTTTATTGCTAATTAATTCACATATCTTTTTAAGTACACAGAAAATCAAACAAAGTGATTTTTAGAATACAATAAAGGAATATTTGATATAAAAACATGTTTATTAAAAAAATATTTTTATAGAGAAAACAAAATGTTGCATTTCACACAATTGTTAATTAATTGAAACCAAAAATAAACTTTAAAATGATCCTGAAGTAATTTTCTTCCAGTTTAATTATATATATCAAGTCAAAATATAGGATAAGTATTTTGAAATTACTACTGAATAAAGCTAGGAACTGATAGAATTTACTCATTGTCTGGACAGTGGACCTGATTAGAAGCATTTCTGGAAGCATTAGAAGAAGACACCTAACTAAAAATAGCTTATAATTTTATAATAACTTTTGCTCACTGAATATCATCAAAAATCATTATTTCATGAACTTTGTTTTAATAATTGTAATCATAAAGTAATCAAAAAGTAATCATGATTACAGGACTTTTTTCAGAGTAATCGATTAAATTACGATAACTTGTAATCAGAAAAATGGGTGATTACTGATTACTCATGATTACTTGGCAAACTGTAATCGATTACAGCTGATTACGATTACTGATTACGATTACCCCATCCCTGAAACTAATGCGAATCAAAATAATGCGAATAAAATTGCGTTCACACGACAGCTAATGCGAAGTTAACTAATGCGAATTAAAATTCTACTTCTAAGGCCAGGCGTCAATAAGGCTATTATGACGTCATTTGCAAATCACGCCACCTTATGCAGGAGCAGATGCATTTGACATAATGTTACAGTGTCTGTACACACATTTTTGTGATTAACACAATTTACCTTAGGTTTTCTCTCAAAAATAGCACAAATACTTCAAGCTGACAACGGACTTGTGGCATTTGACATATTTTTGCCATTATGCATGCCTCAAAATTTAATTCGAAATAGCTTCGCTTAGCGTTCACACGGAGCTAATGCGAAGTAATCTAATGCGCAGTAAACTATTTCGAATTAAACAAATTCGCATTAAATTCTCCGTGTGAACGCTAAGCAAAGCTAATTCGCAGTAACTTTACGTTTAATTCGAATTAAACTCTCCGTGTGTACAAGGCGTTATATTATGACGTTAAGTTCTACGTATCTTCAGTGCATCCGAACGGTGTGTCGTGCGATATCATTTTCCGCCGACGCGCTTTCACGTCGCTATCGCAAAAGGAGGAATATCATGTGACGTCCTTTCAGCCAATGAAAATTACGAAAATACGCATTACAGTTAAGGCAACATTTTCTATAAAAAGTCACCGAAAACGATATAGTTATTGTTTAACTGTGAGAATTCTTTTCACTTCTCGAAAACCACTTTTACGCTCGACTGTGCCTAGGTTGACGGATTTCTTGATGAGATTTTTTCAAATGATACAAAACACTTACATGCATTTTAATTATAATTTATCTTCTTGTGTTAAATATGTTTGACATGTATTATTTATTCTTATTTTTTTTACAAAGGGACTTTAATAATTACTTCCAAAACGAAAGTAGAAAGCAGTTCAATATATTCCCAGGGATTATATTCTGGAGACGCAAACAAAACAATTGATGGAAATACGGCTCAGGATTATAAAAACTGCATGCACACAGCCCTGAGCCAGTCAGAGGCCTGGTTAAAGATTGATCTTGGTAGCGTCTTCAATGTGAAAAGTATTAAAATATGGTACAGAAACGACCGTAAGTTTTTACACAATTGAAACCAATAAAAAGGAATGTGACAAAGCAATAATTGAATGTCATAAAAACTTTTTTTCTACAAATAAAATTCCCTTATACATGTATTATACGTATGAAAGGTTGCATATATTTTTTTTTAAGTCATGTATCCAATTCCATGAATTTCAAATGACGTTTATATATGGGTACAGTCCACTAATTGTTTTCCCATAGGCGACAATGTTAACGTTTCTTCTCATAGCGATGTCCTTAATTTTCGTTCAGTAGTGAGTGACCCCTCAAATCAAAGCACATCAACTTGTCCTTCCTTGGTTAGGGTCTCGAGGTGGCATGTCAGATTTGCTTTCCGGCAAAATGCGTCTGTCTGCGGGAACCTCTAAAAATGAAAGTGAAAGTAGGGGAATTTCAGAATTTTTACTGGCGTTATAATACACAAAATAATTCGGCTGATCTTCTTGATAAATTACATTTTCCAAGCTTTTTTGGTAGGAAAAATAATCCTTATCAACAAGTGTGAGGCTCAGTTAAGTACATCTGCCCATTTTTTTTTTATGCAAGTCTGCAAATTAAGGAACTTGTAATTTTTTCTGCACTACTTTCTTCTCCTACCGATTCTAAAAATAATTAGTGGGATGTACCCATATTTAAAAGAAATTTGAAACATACAAATAAAAGTTAATAACACTTATGCTGATATTTTTAGGTGGTGTAGGTACTACTAAAAGGCTGAGAGGATTTTCTATACTTGTGTCTAATAACTCCGATTTTGATGTAAATGACACATGTTATCAGGATCCCGGCAACATTCATCTTGAAACAGTGCTTGAAGTAAATTGTTCGAGGTCAGCTCAATATGTAAAGATATACACTAATAAGAACAATGATGGGGGTGTTATTCTTGAGATCTGCGAGGTGAAGATATACGGTATGTCTTTTGATATATAATTAAAACGGTGTATGCATAAGATAGTGAGTAAAAGTTATAATATAAGAAAATTAGCTGAAAAAAGCCTTTATTTCAATGTTTAGCTCAAGAGATGAGTCAATGTTTTATAGATATACGAACAAGTACATTTTGAAAATTCTTGAAGTGTCTAACAACATGTTTTTTATTCAACTAAGTCAAAGGCCCAAGTGAGCTTATCGGTTAAAAAAATATTTGTTGTCGTTTGTTGTATACGGCGTCAGCGAAAACATTTCATTATTTTTTTTTTCTTCTCAAGAGCGTTGGTCAATTTTAATCATGCTTGCTACAAAACATCCTTATTATGATTAAAGAAAAATGAATTAAAATGAAATGAATTAAAAAACCTTTATTCGGGAAGCAGTCGGTCAGAAAAAAAATTGATTCCGATGTGAATGCTTCCTTTGATAGTGTAGGTCATGGTCAAATCAGAACCCCGGTCATGGGAAGGTCACAGCTGAAGCAGCCGTTTGAACATGTAGTGTACATTAAAATTCGTTCATATCATAACAACACCAGTAGAATTGCCCGCACCAGGGGAAAGAATTATACATAGGAATATTTGGAAATATGTTTACCAATCTTTTCAAGAAAGTCATGACCGGTCACAGTAGCCTAGTGGTAGAGCGTTCGCTTCGTGATCGGGAGGCCCGGGTTCGATTCTCGATCGCGGCGCCGCGTCATACCTAAGACGTAAACATAGGTAGTGACTGTTCCTTCGCCAAGCGCTCGGCACTAGAAGTGAAAGTCACTGGTCTTTCGGATATGACCTTAAAAACGTAGGTCCCGTGTCACGGTAGGCGTTGGCACGATAAATAACCCTCACTGCTCAATGGCCCTGAGTGCCGAGTATAGGTCTAAATTTGAAGCCCTTCACCGGCATCGGTGACGTCTCCATATGAGTGAAAAATTCTCAAGAGGGACGTTAAACAATATACAATCAATCAATCAATCAAAAAAGTCATGTAAAGTCATGTTTATAAGTTGGAAGTTTCGTAATGTAGTGTATAAAGAAGTTTTTTCCCCCAATAATCACTTTTTGATATACGACGAGCCCACAATAGGCTATATTATTACATAGGAATATACATGTATATGAAAAATCTTCTCCTTAAGAGAAGCAAACTCATGGTAAGTCATCTTGTTCAAAAGTAAAGGTAGTTCGGAATATGGGAAATTTAGCTCTTTTTATATCTCATTAACAATACCTCCTCTTAAAACTATATCAACGAGTTCATTATTGCTTACATGTAATTCCCTTGAAGGTTAATTGTTTCTCGTGCAAAACAAATTGGTATCGTACTCCTCCGGAACTGTTTACCATAGAGACGCAAAAACTCCATCAATGTCTTCAGAATCTTCAGCACAGCTTTCACCTTTTCAGAGCGAAAGCATCTGATGACCCCTTTTGTTAGTTATCGCCTGTTACTATTAAAATGTTATAATTTAAAATACGTAGAAGCATTGAGTTAATTGCAATATGACCCTTCAAAATATGACCTTCAATATTTAGTAAAGGTCATAGTCCATTTTAAAAATGTTTTAAAGGCTATTTCTTGATACTTTTTGCATGAAAAATAATCTTAAAGAGTAAACTATAAAACATTTTTTTAAAGGAAAGAAGGTGGGAAGACCTCTAATTCTTTAAGAACAATAATTCTACTTATTTTCTTTTTGTTTTGCTAAATATTAATTGATAAAAATGTTTTACCTTATAGTAGAAATTAAAATTAACTTACATATAGGTCTACGTCTGCTTTATGATTGTCGATTGTCGAGCTAGTCTATCCCAGGTTAACACCAAGTGTGAGCCAGTTCCCATAGCTTTCCTGCTATTTTTTTATCTGAATATTTTCACATGATTGCAGGTCATATTTTTATTAATATATGTATTTTACTTGGAAATTAAAAGAACAGTTTTTTAATCGAAAAAACTCTTGCAAACCAGGTCAATGTTTTATTTAAAAATTTATGCTACGGTTACCAAAACAGAATAAGGCATTTTTTAAATGGAATCAAATAAAGTTGTAAATAAATATAATCTTAACTTAGAATTTTTCCTACAGTTTACTAATGTCTCCTGAAGTAAATTGTCTGCATTATTATTGATTCAAGTGCCTCCTTATCATTTTAATCTCACCTGATCCCAACATGAGATTGCCCAATTGCTGAGAATCCGTTGACTTATTTTGACAAAACTTTCAACAATGTGTCACAGGAAAGAGTGAATTTGAAGGAAAGTTCATCATTTCTATAACAGGAGCTACTAAAAATTCTGAAGAAAAGGAATTGATTGATTAATTTACATTTTTTTTTCAAAATTAACCCTGTACAAAAAATCAAGGTGTTAAAAATTATAGCATGCTCACAAACTTGTTACATGTGAAATATGAAAAGCATATATCTTTTGGATCCTATCAAAAGTTATAAGGAATGATAACTTTTTTGGCAAAGTAGTTCAAACTTCAAGGCCATGGTTTAGATTCAGAGTTAAAGAAAATTCGTGCCAAAAGTTAAACACAATTATAATGGAAAGCCAAACATTTTCTCTAACAAAACAAGATGCCACTTTAATCTAATGTTAAAATTTTTTAAATGCAAGTCGAAATTCAACATGAAGATGTCAAAAGTCATAGTGTATTTAGATAGATCTTGTCAAAGATAATGCACGTATAAAACTATTACCTTTTTTTTCTTTTAAAAGATATACCCAATTTAAAGTTTTTTAACAATTTTTTTTTAAAAAATTGGTCAATTTTCAAGGTCACATCGTCAAAAATCATATACTGGTTTTATCACCTTTGATATATGAATTTCATATCTCTTCTCATTCAAATGCTAATACCAATGTTTAAGTTCTTGTGACATACTTACAGAAGGAGAGACGAATGAAATATAATGTCCAACATCTTTTGCGAAAGCGGGCTACATTGAGGCGAAAAGCCTAAATTCGGAATTTACTCTGAAATATGTATTTGAAAACGTATTACTGCTTGCTTTGCAACCGTCATATGGAAATTAAAATTTTTATTTTCTTGCAATCATCGTAAAGGAAGATTTTTAATGGCAGGTTACCAATTACTTACACAAAACAAGTAAAATAACATTAATCAACAGCAGAAAAAAGTTTCAATATATTTTTTATCTATAATAAACAATGTATTGAAAAATATTTATAGGGTGTGGACATTGTGCTAAAAATGCAGTTTGTGATCAGGACAATGGGTCCTGTCCTGGTGGACATTGTGAACCAGGTTGGAAGCATGCAAATGACCTGAGATGCGACCAAGGTATCGCTTACAGTTTTGAAATATCCTAATGAGGCAAAGTTAAAGTAAGGGCAATATATTTTTAACTTGCCTAGATAGCCGAGCGGTCTAACGCGCTGTTCCTATACTGCTAAGAGACAGATTCCGTAGGTCGCGAGTTCAACCCCGGGCTGGGGCGGAAGTGAGTATCCTTGTAAAAGTGAATTTCTCTGTGCTTTCTATATTAATATTCCTTCACTTAGGGCAGTTATATTAGTTTAAGAGTTGTTGTAATTTGTGCTTTATAAATAAAATTAATTTCATCACAACATGTATTGGTAACAATCCTCTAAAAACTAATGTCCAAATAACTGTATCTCACTTCCATTCTCAATGACCGTGTAGTGTAGGGCAGCGTTGTGAGAATTCCATCGGCATCGAAAGCAAGTTTTTTAACTTGCCTAGATAGCCGAGCGGTCTAACGCGCTGTTCCTATACTGCTAGGAGACTGATTCCGTAGGTCGCGAGTTCAACCCCGGCCTGGGGCGGAAGTGAGTATCCTTGTAAAAGTGAATTTCTCTGTGCTTTCTATATTAATATTCCTTCACTTAGGGCAGTTATATTAGTTTAAGAGTTGTTGTAATTTGTGCTTTATTTATATATATATATATATATATATATATATATATATATATATATATATATATGTATGTATATATATATATATATATAATTACAGAATGTGAAAACGGTACCTTTGGGTTGTACTGTCAGTCCAACTGTAGTGACAAGTGTGCAAAAGGACAGTCATGTAATAAAGCCAACGGGTTTTGTCAAGGAGGATGTGAAAACGGATGGACAATTCACAACTGCACTGAAAGTAATATTTGAAATTACTGTAAAAGTGGTTATTCACGCGTGGGAGAAATTTATACTACTTACGCGGTAAGCTAAAAACCGCGTAAAATACCCCCGCGCGTATGGTCACAACATTTCAAACCTTTGGAATAATTCTAGATTATTACTTATAGTGTTAGACGGGTTGAACCAGTCGTCTATTTATCGTGGTATTGGACGCACGTGAATAGATTAATATATCACAAACTGTGATGAAAATGTACGTGTTTATTATGTTACTTGTGTGATGAAAAACGCATCTTCATATTAAATATTTTAAAGCAACGTCACACAATTAAAGCTTCAAAACATCGATACTCATATTCATTTCCTTTGTATATTCGTTTATAGCTTTCTTAATTTCAAATGGTTAGTCCAAAATGTTAAATAAACAGTCACTATAATCCAACCTATTAAATTAATTGTAAAAACTCGACACGCAGATACAGGTAAGTAGATTTCACTTTGAAGTTTGAGCTTGCGTTAATAACTACAATAAAGCGCACACCAGTTGTTCACACTTCACCGCATTTGACTGTATACATCGACGTTATATTTACCAATACAAACAAAAGTATAAACAGTATAAATCTTTATTGTTTAGTTTGTTTGTCTTATAATTTTCAAAGGAGAACAACCCTATGTTAGTTACGATATCGATGACCGCGTTAATTTTTTTCGGTAACTCGTTCGACCGCGTATATTATACCCACGCGTAATGTTTGACAGTCACAAACGCGTACTTAACAACCAGTGTAAATAACCACTTTTACAGTATAATACTTTGATGGATTAGGACAGACGAGACATTCCTTAATAATTGATATTTTTTCTATGAGTTTGTCATTGAAGTATTGCTACTTAAACACGTTTACTCACAAAAAATCGAGGTACCTTTCCAGGCATTTCTGCAAGATACCAGGGGGTAATTTTTCCCTTGAAAAAAATAATTTCAAATGTTTAAGGGTTTGGATTTTTTAAAAACGTTTAGAAACTGGTTTAGAAATTAGAATGTTATTAAAACTTTGAATATTTGTCATACATTACAAAAATGGTTTAGAAATGAGAATGTTATTAAAATTTTGAATATTTTTCATACCTTATGAAAAAAATACAAAACAGATTTTGAGGAACGTCTCGTCTGACCTTAAACGCATAAAAAATTATCTCTAGCAAAGAATCCAAAAAGAATGTTGATTATTATATTGATTGATAAAAAGCAAGGGCAGCCACACATGTACAGTGGCTGGAACGTTATTGTTGACAAACCAATCGTGTAGAATCGTTTGTGTATCGTGAGTAATCGTTCGTGTAACGTGCGAGATCGTTCGTGTATCAGACTCAATCGCGTGCGTTTAGAATCGTGTAAATTTCGTTTTGTAAGTTTTTATCGGAATGTTATTTAAAAAAATAAGCATGTCCCTTGTTTGTTTTTCTTAATTTATTAATTAAAATCCAAATAAAATGAAAAAGCGCAATTTACATAATAGAATGCAGAACGAACTAATTATCGCCCGTAAACAACAATATAGTAAGTCGTACAATATTAAGTTCTCGTCAAATAGCGCGATCAATATTGTGATAAACCGTACTTAGATCTCTAACGCCTTTTTGAAAAATCTGATTTTAATTAATATTTACTTCTTATTGTGGTCAAGATTATCTTGAAATCAATTCACTGAAAATATTTTTTTTTACAAAGAAATAATCATTTCTCAATGCTTACATAACTAGCTAGTCGACAAATATACATCGACACGGCATGATTTTCGGGAGTTTTGATTATCTGTGTTTATCTCTTGAGCTTATTTGTAATTAATTAATTTTAAATTTCTACAAATAAAAAAGTTTAATAATTGGCAAGTTTATCAGACATTGAATCAATGGAAACATAACGATTAAATTTGTAATTATAATTTAAGTCATTTCATGCTGTCATATTGTTCAGTCGTATCCCCCTTTCTGCATATCATGATACCCAATTTAATCAAATTATACGAGCCACATACATGTACATCGTCTAATAAAACGAACAAAATCCGTTTTCTTTGATCGGAGTATTAAGAATTTATTCCCAGTAAACAGAGTGTTTTCTGATTATTATCATTTATTCCTTTTATGTATTGGAATTGATTTATTAATAAATTTTAAATGATTTAAATATAAAGAAAACAAAGACCGAAATCGGTAATTTCTCGGAAATATGGCCGATCGGGGCATGTGCTGATTTTGCATAAAACAAAATTACTACTTAGATAAGGAGTAAAATACATGATAAAAACAAATCTTGAATGATTTTTAACAGATAATTAAAGGATTTGATCTCAAATATGCGATAGCGTTAGAAATATAGTTAATTAAAGTTGACATACGAAATCCCGCGACTTACGAGATATCGCGAGATTTGTGGTAGTTGCCTATCCCGTTAGTATATAGGTCCCTGATAATATTGATAATTCTTTGAAATCTTAAATAAGTATTAAGCCGTATTTCGTTTCGAAAATATTGATTCCTAAATGTTTTGAACTATTTTGAGTGAAGAAACGTGCGTTTGCGTTAACAATCGTGTAAGATCGTGTAACGTGTAAAATCGTGAACGTGAAAGATCGTTCGTGTAACAGATTTAATGGTGCGTTAATCGTGCGGAATCGTTCGTAAGATACAATTATTAGGGAAGGGCCTTTTTTGGGTTCTTTTAATTCAATACATTTTGTAAGTTTTGAATCCATGAAGAACGGCAATTTTGAATAATTTGGTATATTAAAACGTAACAAAATAGATATTTGAAGAACCTGACCTCAGACCTGAACCCAATAATGAAAAGAAAATCGTGGTTACATGACATATAATTATTTAATATGCTACCTTTAACTCTCATCTGGGAATTTACTTTAAAGGAATTATACATTAAAGTCTAATTTGTTTTGTGTAATTGTTTGCTTTGAGGTGTATATGTTAAGGTTAATCGATGGCTTTGTGTGGAATGCCAATAAAACAGTTCTTTCAAGTTTCTTTCACGCAAGAACGTTCCAATGTGCATGTATTTTGCATCAATTGGATTTAATTATCATTAAAATATGCTTATAAGTGTCTTCATTGCTAGCACATATTTGTCGCTTACAAAGGAGGCTGATGTATATGTTTCTGAGTTTTTTTAATCAAAGCATTAAATTCAAGAACATGTTATTCATGAACATTTCCGGCAAACGGTTAAAACTACTTAACGTTTCATTTAAAACTATATTTTCCTTTTAAATAAGATAAATTGGGTCTTTATTTTTACTTTTTACGTCAGTCAGTTTAAATTTACGAAAATTGGAATTTTGTGTTTTTGAAGATGAACTTGTGGTGTCCGGCTATACCAGAACAAAGAGCAGTTCTGTTTACCATTACAATGGATATATAGGATACGCAGACAAGACAGTGGATGGAAATATTGATCAAAAACAATATAGTAATTGCATGCATACGGATATAGGACAGGAAAAGGCTTGGCTTCGTGTTGACCTACGAATTTTATCCATTATTAGTTCTGTCAAATTGTGGTATAGAAATGATCATACAAGTAAGTTATATTAAATGTATCTGAGCATTAGCACATTGTCCGTAATTTCACATCATCGTATAATTTGTTTTTGTTTATAAATGTACATATTTAGAGACATAAGATTTCCTGCAGCTCAATATAATTTTTTTAAAATTCTCATTACTTTGATATTATAGGACGTATTATAATACCATCACTTAAACTTGTCAAATATATTTTATTGCTTTTACACATTTTACTAGTTCCCAATTTTAATACAAGAAGAATGAAGGGCTTTAATATACGTCTTACAAATACAACTCGAAAGAATCAACAGAAAATATGCTATGAGGATGATGGAAAAAGTAATCCACCAACAATCATCAAAGCAAAATGTGAAGGAGTAGCCCAGTACGTATGGATTTACACCAATATAAGTTTTAAAGATGGAGCAATTCTTGAAATCTGTGAAGTGCAGGTTTATGGTAAGGGATCGTTGATAGTTATCAAATTAAAAGTTTAAATAATCATGGTCATTCAAAAGTTTCCATGCTCTCTGAGCACATGAAAAAGTTAAAAATCTACGCTTTGACAAACATGATGAAAATATATAAATATCAAGATTATCATTCCAAGTAATCATTTTATAATTTCTATGACTAAAACAATGTCATCGTTAGCAATTAAAAAACATCATTAAGACGAGCATTGACCAACGTATTTCATTAGAAATGTATATACACTCATCTTTCTTCGATTTTCTTCGATTATTACGAGATACTTTTTTTTCATTTACCCCAAGACACCTGATCAAAATTTTAAAGGCTCAAAATTGATCTGCTGTCAGTTTTATTCTTTTAGTTGATAAGTCGATATTTTATCAACTTCTTTGCAGAATTCCCAATTTTATATATAAAAACTTCAGAACAAAATGTTTTCTCATAATGTGTTATAATACCAGGATGCCCGTATCAAGACAGTGATGGAAAATGTATCTCTTGTGATGGATGTAGGAAAGATTGTGACTGTGAAAACTTCGATTGTAGAAAAGCTGGATATCGCCCTCAAAATTGTTCAAGTAAGCAATATATAAAGTTTCGAACTCAGAAACATAACATATGTGTAAATAAAGCGGGTACCTGTAGAGTGCGAAACAAAATAGAAACGAAACGAACTGAAACGAAACGAAATCTGCCGAAACGAAACGAAACCTACCGAAACGAAATCACGAAACGAAACGAAATCAAAACGAAACCTGCCGAAACGAAAACTATCAAAATGTTTGGCTTTTTTTCAAATCAAGGTACATGTATATAATTATATATGTGTAACTGCATGTGGACTCTTTTTTTTTACTTCAAATAAAATTTATATAGTTCAAGCACTTGTTAATATAAAATTTAATTTGATTACCGATTATGCTCCCTTCTCTGCTGTCTAATGATGTATTTACATGTTTGCCAGCTGCAAATATGCACGAGCGTACTTTGCATGTATAATTTCAATAATTTTTATATCTTACTCTTATTTTCAGTCCTTATTTATCTATATACAACATATCTATAAAAAATTGATGTGTTACATGTACATGTAAAGGCTCGTTTATGTACGGGTCGAAATAAAGTCACTGTGTTGCGAATGTCTTTTAAAAAATGGGATAAACCAGAGACTTAGAGTAATTAGTATTCCATTCCGAGGTGTCTAGTTTTTCCGTTCAATTATACATGTAACTCCAACCGTAATCTTGTGTATCCTTTCTACGTATATACGGTCCTATATTTATCGAGGTAATTTTCGAGGAAGAAATGATCTGAGTAGTTTGCAATAAAGATGATCGACCAAAGACGTCTAAAACGATTTAGCTGACAAGAAAAAAGTCTCTCGAAGCGAACAATGTCACTTTTAAGTAGGTAAATTATTCAGTAACATATAAACAAAATATGACATAGGCGTCGGAAGCGGGGTGGGGGTGGTTGGGTTAGCCCCCCCCCCCATTTTTTTGCAAAGATATATATCATATAGGCATTGACAATTCGGGTTAACCTTTTTTGTTGGTTAAGCCCCCCCCCCCCCCCACACCCCACTTTCAATTTCCTTCCGACGCCTATGTATGAGCTTGAAGCGAAACAATTGCCTGTTGTGCTTCAACTATATAAATTTCATATAAAGTAAAAAAAAATACCACATAAAAACATTCTGAAAGTTTTGTTTCGTTTCGTTTCGGCGGGTTTCGTTTTGATTTCGTTTCGTTTCGTTAGGTTTCGTTTCGTTTCGGTAGATTTCGTTTCGTTTCGGCAGATTTCGTTTCGTTTAAGTTCGTTTCGTTTCTATTTCGTTTCGCACTTTACAGGTACCCTAAATAAAGCTTAGGATTAATCTATGAAGAACAGCCTCAACAAAATGGAACATATACAGCTCTAGATTTATATAGCCAAGGCTGTTTTGTTGAAGAAAGATTAAACATCAGCTACAATATTTCAATATTATTGCTGATCAGACCATAAAGTTTAAAAAAATAATTATTTCATAAAATCATTTTAGCTTGTTTCTGCAACTTTATACGGACTTCATGCTGTTAAAAGACGTGCATGCATCATCATGATTTTCTCTTTTTAACAAGCTTGGCTCTTCAGCTTTTCAGCAAATTTTGTCTTGGCCTTTTATTTAAGAAGATTAAAAAATGTCATTCTGTGACATGAAATCAAAAATACGTATGTGCAGATCTAGTAGTGTTCGAAAGGGAGTGGTACTTTATAAAGGGCGGTCGGGGCAATGAGTTATGGTCTGAAATTAAATTGCAAAAATCCAAAAAACTTTAAAGAAATTCTTGCTGAAAATACCTTATGCTGCGAAATAAGCAACTTAATAAGCAAGTTTTATAGCCATTTCATAAATCCATGGGAATGACCATTCGAAACTGGTCGGATGATGAAGCTTTTTCTTACAAATATTTATTTTCAAAATAACCCCATAAACACACAAGGTCCAAAGCTATTTTTTAAAGAATGAATCTTCTTAACGCTGCAATCTCGCCCCTTTTTAAATTCAGAATTTTACCGTTTTAAATCACAACATTGTTATCTTATAGTTAAAGTCTTCAAGTATAGTCTATGTAGATACTAATTCAGGATTTTTTAAGAAAAAAGATTTCAATATATACATGATATCGATTAAAGAAAGTGGCATATTTCACTGTAAAACTTCGCCATTACGGCTATGTAGGTCATTGCAGTACTAGTATTTGAATGAGAAGGTGGGGCGTCTATCAAGCGTGCGATTAGTGTGAATACAATAGCGAGTGTTCGAAGTGTACGAAGTTTTATAATTAAGTGACACCTAAAACCCCTCTTTTCGTATTGCTAGAGACCGACCAAATATAAGCATCTTCTTTTTTTTAATTTGTCAGGCTAAACTTCGTTTTTTCTGCTTAACTTACGAGTTGCATTTGCAATGATTTATTAGAAAATCGTCAAATCATTTATATATAAAAATAAACAATGGATTTTATGAATAAAGCGTATAACGCAAAAAACACTTTTTCATACTTTAAAACATTATTTATATAGCGATGGTGATTAAGCCACTAAGGCTTACAGATGATCCATTAAAGCTTATTACTGTTTCGTAAATAATTATTTCATAGTATGTACATATATAACTATGCGAAATTCGTGTGCTACAAAAAAAATGGTTGAATTATGATATAAAACATTATGTATAAAAGTTGGATTTTTTTTTTTTTGTGCATAAAGAATAAAATCGCACGAAAGTGAAAAATTAAAAACGTCAGTTTAACGTCAATATTATCGCTGCTAAATATAAAAAAAAATCAGAGTTAGACAAGTACAGTCCAGATTGCATTATTAATCCATGCCATGCACAGACAAGTTACTGTGATATGATCTTCTTTTTTTAGGAATTATTATTTGTAGAAATTCACTCGTGTACATTTTGATTTTTACAAACTCTCGTCCTGTTCTGAAATAAATAATTTATCATTTCAAATAATTTTTACGCCCCTTTTCATTCGATTTTGTTCCTAATAATTATATTCAAATCTTTAATTGTTGTTAGATTTTGTGCCGATACAAAATGATATAACATTTGTAGTGTCGTCAGAAGAAATCCTTCTATTCAATTTTAGGGGTGCATTCTGTGCAATGTATTCGTCTAGTGACTTTTCGTCCGATATACAGGTCTTTTGAGCGTCCCATTGTTCAATGTGATGTACATAGACTACATACAATGTATACTTAGGAACAAAGGAAAATTTATAATATATTTATTCACAGTATTTTTTTTTAATTTCTGAATTAATGAGATACAAGCATTAAGTGCTAGGTTTGTTCTACAAGCCTCCAAAATATATTTATATATACCGAAACCAAATCAAACATAATCAACTGCAATTTTGTTAAATAACAAGTAAATCAAAAATGTTAACACATCTAAAATAAACCAGTATAAAAAAAATTATCCCAGGGTACATTACCCATTTGAAAATGATTTGACGAACGACAACTCGCAACACTGGACACGATGTGGCATTGATCTGCTCAAAGCACGAAAGTGAATAGATTTGAGTCACGTGTTCAATGCTTTGTTATTCATGAGGTCAAAGGCGGGTTGAAATTTGTAAACAAGATGCCTTTACTGTAGGGACAGATACCCGTGAATTTGCACCTTTTTGGAAAATAACATGTGAGCGCACGACTGTTTCAATTTCTTTCATGAATTAAAATGACAAGTTTAACTCTTTACATTGACCCTATTTACAACAACTTGAAACATCTATGCGCTCATATAAAAAATGGGCTTGCAAAGTGGGGGTGTGGCCTAAAGTCTATGGGAAATCGATGTAAACAACGTACCCCTGCTATATTAATCAGATAAATACCCAATTACAGTGCAAGGAAGTGAAAATTGAAAATGAAATTAATAAACTACAATGTTTGATGGAAAGATTGAGACAAGAATATGTAGGAAATCTTCAAACTTATTTTTTGTAAATTATCTGGGGGCCAAATGTGGACGTTTAAACGATTCATTCTTTCGGTTATAGATTAAAATGTCTATTGGCCCTCGGTCAAAATTACCATATGTGCGGTCAAAAATATAAAGTTTATCTTCTAACTTTATATTCGGACGAATAATGCATGGTTAACAAACAATGAAATGGTGGAATATTACTTTAAATCAAAGAAAAGAATTTAACTAAGAAAAATGTACTAACCTACATAAATGCATATTTTCAGCCTATTTCATAATTAACATATAGAAACAGATATACATGTACACATGGTCGTATATAGGAACTGGGTTAAAGGGTCGGGGATAAGCCGGACCCCCTTCCCAATAATGAAGTCAATAAATAAACAATGTAATATTATAGAAATCGTAGCTAATGTTCTATGTATACCAGTGTGCCCCCTCAATAAAATAATCCCAAATAGATTATTTGGCAGTGCCCCTGAACTAAAAACGTTTGGTTGTACTCCACCCCAACCCCCAACTGAAATAGCTTGCTTCAGGCCCGTTACATTTAATTATAATAAAAAAGCAGACCAAGATAATTCAGTTAAGAACACCATTTAATACATCATCCAAGAAGTAACTGTCTACCATATGTCTATTTTAAGAATATTCGTTTTTTCTTTGAAGTGATATTTTATTTATTTCTTTTTAGATATGGTATTAGCCATATTTTATTTAAAGAAAAAAGAATCTCTCTCTCTCTCTCTCTCTCTCTCTCTCTCTCTCTCTCTCTCTCTCTCTCTCGCTCGCTCGCTATCTCGATACAAGACACTGTAAATTTAAAGCGCATCGTTATTTACTTGTTTGCACGGATTTATAAAGGGTTTGAGTTTTTTTCAAGCTGTAAAAAGTAACCTTTGTCCAAATGAACAAGACACACACTACAAGTAGTTTGTTTATGCTTAATAACTGACGCATGACGAACGTGTTTTCTAATCTGTCTAGAGTATTAGGCCTATTGGGTATTTTCTTTTTTTCCAATTTTTAACTTTGTATGGGTGTAATCACTGGTCTCGAGAAAATTATCGGGATACGGAAAGTTAGGTCGAAGTCACTTGCTTAAAATTTTCAACATTCTTAAAAGTATCATACTATTCTGAAGTCTTTTAAGCGATGGAGAACTCTGCAGAACATTAACAGATCATTCATAATATGTTCCCAAATTCTGGTATAATACCTATAATTTATATCGAAGCAGATATGTCCTTTTCATAATAAATAACATTTTGAAATAACAAACATAAAGAGGGTATAAAAAAACATTTGTTGTACCCGTTACTTTAGAAAGTTGATATAGATGTAGTTATTTTTTTTTAATTGGCAGCTCAAACTTACTGCTATGCATGCTCATAAAGGGGAAAGATATTATTGAACAATATGTTAGCAGAATTCTGCTCTGTATTCTTAAATAGGAGCAAAATATTATATATCAAATAATCATTTAAATTATGTAGAAAATAGTTTTTTGAAGAATACTTATGCCATCAATTTAAAAAAAAATAAAGACAGAAATGAATACGTTATTATTAGTTGTTCATCTACATGCTGTATGATTTGTTATTTTAAAGGTAGTTTAAAATGCACAAATGGAACTTATGGTCATGGTTGTAAATCTACTTGTGGACACTGTGCCAATAATACAGCGTGTGATCACGTTCACGGATCCTGTCCAAATGGAAAGTGTGAACCTGGATGGGAAAGCACTCAAGACTGGAAATGTGACAAAGGTTTGGGATAAATCTTTTAAGCTTTTAAAACACTTAGTTGGTTCAATGTTGCTAAGGAGATAAAACAAGGAGATTGTTAAACTTGTTGTTTATTTTTTAGTTAAAAAAATTACTTACATAACTTCATTTTTTCTTCAAATGATTAAAACATCAATTGAATGCAAGAAAATTTGGTTGCTATTGAATTTAATCCCTTAAATGACTTCATTTTTTGTTCATCTCCTAATGATTAAAATGCATTTTAGAATGCAAGAATGGGACCTATGGTCATGACTGTAAAGGAAACTGTGGACACTGCGCCAATAATATTGTGTGTGATCACATTGACGGATCCTGTCCGAATAGGAAGTGTGTACCTGGATGGAAAAGCACAGCGGGCGGGAAATGTGACAAAGGTTGATTTCTAACAAGTGAATAGTAATGAACTTACTTCTTAAAAAACATCTGTTTGAAAAATATAAACCTAATAGTTTTACATATAACCGATGAACAGGAGTCTACGTAATTGCATGCTTTCCTATCAATTAAAATATATCCTTTCACTGATTATCGAAGAAAAGAGAAGTAATGGATAGTTGCAAATGGTAGGTTTATCTAAATTTAAGCCATGTGAATACTTCGATAATAAGAACCTATTTTACCGATAAATTTTACCCATCTGTCGAAAATTAAAATTTTGATCATCATGGCGTTTTATAGAAAATAGATGATGGATGGAAATCATGTAGTTTCAGTACGCAAAAAAGTTTTTATGGAGATAATTGATGTTGGTCTGTTAAATGCACATTATGATATAATTATTTTTTTGTATTCTCGCCTCTCATTGCTTGATTTCCAAAAAGAAACGCAAATTATTTTTGATAATCTGGTTTGGTATGGGGACACGCCTCCTTGACGACCAGCTTAATCATCTTATCCATGCAATCCCCTCATTTCCATTGCTCGGAATCCATGGAAATTTCCAGATTTAATAAATGTACCTTTAACGTCAAGCAATTACTCAATCTTACCTCATATAAACAAACGTCATGGCTGCTAGATCTATGTATCTGTTATAACCTCCCCTCAAATCCTATCACCCCTTCCGTTACTCCGGTTCTAAGTATCATTGCACGGTAAATTTAATCTCGTAAAAAGCAACACAATTTTACATCCAAGGTTGTTTAATTATCTTAAAATTAAATTATAAGGAATGACTTTAATTCTTGGCCAAATTATCGAGTATAATATGGTTTGGGTCAGTTTACGCTTTTTTATAATCCGCTTCTTAAATAATTCTGTTTGAGAGATATTTGTTTATACATGTAACACTGAATACATTTTCAAAAATAATATATTATACACTTATCCACTGGTTGTGAGTGGGATAGCTCTTTTATCAAACCCGCGACAGAGAACTATTCCCCGAGGGCTTGCCCGAGGGGAATAGTTCCTGTCAAGGGTTTGATAAAAGAGCTATCCCATTAACAAACAGTGGATAAGCGTTTTATTATACTGATGTATAATATAAATTCTGAGGTTTGAATTTTTTGGGTAAGATAATACTGCAAGAATAATCTGAAATCCTGATGACGTCACAATGCTACTAAAGTCATTTTGACATCATCAGACAATAGATTTATCGCTGGAAATAAAAATTGGAGGCAAAAATTGCATGAAAATTTTCCGAGGGTGGATAGCAAAAACTATACCCCGGGGTAAAGCTTTGATTTGCGTGAACTATAAAAGATAGCTATTTTACCTTCTGAACTTTATATAGGAAACATTTTAACAGAAGTATAATAAAGTTGTATGTAATTTCTCACTTAGAAACTATTGCTTTCTATACTGCATGCAAATTGGGAAGTAGAAATCAAATCAATGCCGAAAAGTATTTGTTTCACATTTCTTTTTTAAACTTCAGAATTAAATGCTTTATAATTTACTTTTGGCAGGGACGCATCATTTGATTGAATAAAAAATTATCTTTATCGTGTAACTACGGTTACCTACCTCACAATGACTTAATTCAAAAACGTATCAATCTGCATGACGTTACTTTCAACATATAAACAATTTAAAACATTTATTTTCAAGAAGGAATTTTGTTGTTTATTCTTAATGATTAAAAATTTATTTATAAGGAATGATTAAAAAAAAAAACAAAAAAACAAATATACTGTTCATCCTAGAATTGGACAGTTAATTCTTTATAAACAGCGAAAAAAAACGTAAAACTGCTCCAACCCAGATCTAAGAGTAAAACTTTGGTTGCTATTAAATTCAATCCCTTTAATAACTTCATTTTCGGTTAATAACTTCATTTTCGGTTAATAACTTCATTTCCTAATAATTAAAATGCATTTTAGAATGCAAGAATGGGACCTATGGTCATGACTGTAAAGGAAACTGTGGACACTGCGCCAATAATACAGTGTGTGATCACATTGACGGATCCTGTCCGAATAGGAAGTGTGCACCTGGATGGAAAAGCACTCAAGACACGAAATGTGATAAAGGTTTTGGATAAATCTTTGATGCAGCTCTTTTTACACTCAACAACACACTGTTGATCAAAAGATAAACGAGTGCATAATAAGAAAGTTATTGCATTTATCGTGAATAACATATATCTTTATTACGATTCACACGGAAAAAAATAACATCTGTATGTCGAATCATGCTTAAGCTTTTTTTCACCTATTTTAGAATTCACAAATACATATTATTGTCATGGTTGTTAAAATTACTTAAATCTCCATCCTCTTTCAGAATGCAAGAATGGAACCTATGGTCATGGCTGTAGTAGTACCTGTGGACACTGTGCCAATAATACGGCGTGTAATCATGTGACAGGTTCCTGTCCTAATAGTAAATGTGCACCTGGATGGGAAAACACAGAGGGCGGGAAATGTGAAAAAGGTTTCTTTTTAACTTTTAAACATTTCAAAAATATTTTTAAGTTGTATGTTATTGTACACATAGAAACTTTTACTTTCTCTTATGCATGCAAATTTGGAAATCAGCGTCAATTCAAGTGTAAAAAGTATCATTATTTGTTTTACCATTCGTATTCAAACTTCAGAACTCTAATTTAATCTTGGTTGCAACACTTCATTTAACTGGATAATACATGAATCTATTTTGTATAAGCTGGGTTGTCTACGACAACTACTTAAGACAAAAACGAATCAATTCCTTTGACGCTACGTTTAAAATAATAAAAATTTTGAATTTTCTAGGCAGAAACTGTCTTGTTTTCTATACTTAATGATTGAAAATTAAATTAAAAGAAATGAATTAAATAGCAACCGAAGTTATACTGTACAACCTGGGTTGGAACAATTTACTCTTTATAAACTGCGAAGCGATTTATTAAAAAAAAGTATAATGCTCCCTTCGAGGTTGTGAAGTAAAACTTGGGTTCCTACCAAAATAATTCCTTAAATAACTTCATATTTGTTTTCTTTTCTAATGATAAAAATGCATTTTAGAATGCAGAAATGGGACCTATGGTCATAACTGTAAAGAAAACTGTGGACACTGCGCCAATAATACAGTGTGTGATCACATTGACGGATCCTGTCCGAATAGGAAGTGTGCACCTGGATGGGAAAGCACTCAAGACACGAAATGTGATAAAGGTTTGGGATAAATCTTTGATGCAGCTCTTTTAACATTTAACGACACACTGTTGATCAAGAGATAAACGAGCGCATAATAAGAAATTTATTGCATTTATCGTGAATAACATATATCTTTATTATGATTCACACGGAAAAAAATAACAAATGCTTAAGCTTTTTTTGACCTATTTTGGAAAGCACAAAAACATATTATGGTCATGGTTGTTAAAATTACTTAAATCTCCATTCTCTTTCAGAATGCAAGAATGGAACCTATGGTCATGGCTGTAGTAGTACCTGTGGACACTGTGCCAATGAGAACGCGTGTGATCATGTGACAGGTTCCTGTCCTAACAGAAAGTGTGCACCTGGATGGGAAAGCACAGAGGGCGAGAAATGTGAAAAAGGTTGGTTTCTTACAAGTAAATAGGTAGTGAAATTATTTCTTAAATAACATCTGTTTGAGAAATATAAAATTGATAAAGTTGCACTTTTGTATAAATCCATGTACAGTAGCTTTCGTAAGTGCGTGGTTTCAAATCAATTTAGATATATCCTTTCACTGTTCATTGGAGAAAAGAGGTAGGTAAAAAGTGTAAGATATAATTACAACTAGTAGGATTATTTAAATTTTGGTTATATTTATTCATTTCAAGATTAAGTGGTCGAAAAATGAAATTTTGATCCACAGAGCGATCATATAACTCTCTAGGAAATAGGGGAGGGGTGGAAATCTGATTTTTTTTTTTTTCAGTATGCAAGAAAAGAATTTATGAAGATAACTGAGTTCAACATTGCATTACATAGCAATTAATTTACATTACATGATATATATACATGTACTCAAATCAATATATCGCACATCGCCCTATAATCTATCGAATCGAGGGTTTTTTTGTTCAATTCACAGCTCTTATCGATTTTGATTTCACTAAAAATAAGTTCTGTTATAAATATGTGATGTTTTTATAAATTTTCAGCATGTAAACCGGGTTTGTACGGAATGGATTGTAGTCGTAGTTGCGGACATTGTCAAAACAACTCCACATGTAACCACGTGACAGGCTCCTGTCCTACTGGTTATTGTGAACCAGGATGGAAACATACAAAAGAAAAGAGATGTGATCAAGGTAGGAATATTTTCAATTTCGTATTGCTAGGAACATCTTGTTATAAAATATTTATTTTTAATTCTATATGTCATCTTAGAATGTGAAAACGGTACTTTTGGATACTACTGTAGAGGCAAATGTAGTAGACACTGTGCTGATGGATTTCCTTGCGACAAAGTAGACGGTATTTGTCGAGAGGGTTGTGCAGATGGATGGATAAATCCCCATTGTAATGAGTGTAAATATATTTGTATCATTAGTAAAAGAAGGGTTATACTTTATGTAATAATCGACCCAGTCAATCCAAATGTTGCCATAACCATCTTAAAGATTTTATTTCGACATAGAAAGTTTATTTTGAGAAGTTAAAATACAATAACACTTGAAAATTTCTTTTATATTGATCATGCACAACTTTTTTTTTTGATTCGGAACAATCACATATATATGTCCTCTTTTACTCTACGAATATCAAAGATAGGAAAACATTTTTTCTCCAATGTATTAAGAGCATCCGAAAAGGTAAGAATAGGTATTCTTTTGAAAATGATTTCAATTCTAGAAAAGTACCCTCTTATTCATACACATATTAAATATACAGAGGGTTAGTGTCCCTATCTATTCCAAAAGTTTTTTATATTGATAACTTTAATGAGGGTATGTTGCGATTGCTTATGAAGGCAAGTGTTTACGTTATTAGCATATAAACAAATTTGAAGAACATACTATTTATTCTACTTTAGCTATTGTCGAGAACAAATACTAAAACATGTAAAAGACATATCTCGATTCAGTTCTTGAATTCTTGAGTTTACTGATAATGCAATACAAAAGACAGATTTCTGTTTTTTATTAAATATACAGATTAATCAATGAAACATTCAAATGAAATGATCGTAGCATTAACAAATAGCTTCAAAAGAATATTCAAAACGTTCCTGCAGCTAGGATAAGGATCCTACTTTTTACATTTGCACCCACATCAAATCAAATGCGTACATGCAAAGCATATATTAACAGTTAATCATATTAACCATTGGTTTCAGGGTATTTTAATTTTGAACATTATTTTGTGTAGTTGTTATAAAGGAAACGACATTTTAAAGTTTTAGAAACTTGTGTCCAATATATTTTTTTATGTTACGTCTAAACGATTATATACGTTAAATCATTATTTACATAAGCCTATGCAAAGTTTCGTGAAAACATATACTTCGTCACTTTGGCCAAACCCAAAGGAGGTCATATATATGATACAGTAAATATGTGAAGACAAAAAGTACAAGTGCTCTTAAGCAATACTTAATCGGCCTTTTTTTGTGCCCGTTTTCTTAGGAATATATTACCGACTCGTTGTCTTTTGGTAAACGTTAAACACTAGTGGATATTTCTAATCAAAAAGTGCGTTAAGCATCCGTCATCCAAATCAGCATGGATTTAAAACAATTGAATGTTTTAGATGCCTCTCTATACCAAAATCCGGAAAAGTTGCACAGAACCTTTTTTTGTGTTTCGTTTTATTTAAGTCAAGGGTGGGCTCATTTAAATCGACGCTTGAACAATCTGATGGGGGATCATTGACGGGTGCGTTTGTCGGATGATACTTCTCGGGCTGTTTTATAGGTTTGATAAAAAAAAGGAATGAGGTTTTGCAGATGCCTAGAGCTATAGCGATCAAATTAAGAAACGCTTGTATATGAAACAAAAATACAATAAGCATAAGCATATATATATTAGATTCTTGAATTCTGATCTGAAATTAAAGAAAAATGTTTATGCAGACAAATACCTTCTGAATATTAAAAGTAAATTGCTTAACACATGTACAGCTTAGCTATTTTTTTTAAAGAAATAATTAGTCCACAATTGATTTCCTCCATGAATTATATGTACATTACCTGGAATTTCTTAAAATGGTTTAACAATCAATCAAATACATTTCAACTGTAGCATGCACGGAAGGTTTGTATGGAAGGAACTGCAGTCTCAAATGTGGACATTGTGCGGAAAATAAATATTGTAACCATGTGAATGGTTCGTGTCCTTCCGGGAGCTGTGAACCAGGATGGAAACATACAGAAGAAAGTAGATGTAATCAAGGTAAACAGAAATTAGCCATTCGGGTTAAATGTTCTGTAAATTCTGCCAATAATAAATGCACATTTAATAGTCATTTTAATATCCTTGATCTAACCTACTGTCTTATTTTTGCTCACTTGAGCCAAAGGTACAAGTTATCATCACTTATCAAACAGTGTTCATTGTCAAATTTTGGTTCTTTTTTTCCATTTTTGACTGTTTTGAAAAAGAGTTAACTTAAAAAGAAAGCTAAAGTTTAAGCACTGGAATTGACAAATCTATTTTCCAAACGGAGATAATAGAGAAAGTGTGAAAAATTGGAAGCACCTTTTAAGCATCTTCATAGGATATACTAGTCCAGAATTTTTTTTTTCTGAGAGGGCTTCATTGCCTACATATGTTAATTCATATTTGTTAACATCATGACCCATTGGATAAAACAAATTGTACAAAAATTTGGTATATTTGATTGTATATTGGATTGTACAAAATACAGTGTATTTAGGAATAATCTCTAAAATAAAAAAAAAAACATCGAAACTATGATGTCAGTTTGATATGGAAGTGTCCTCAGGGGGTATAGATTCAAGGTTGATGACCTTATGGGGTAAAACAGGAAATCGATATTTTACAATTGAAAACTTAAGGAATATTTAAAACAATCTTTTTTTGATAAGGAACAAGACATATATAAAAATCATAATAATACTGAAGCATCCTAGTAGTATAGATTGATGTTAGTTCCAATTAGCAAACCCTAAGATGGAGAGGTATCTTTTTCAAACATCTTCTCAGGACCAACAACGTCATAATTTTGTAGACGCATCCTTCCTTTTTTTCAAAACATGACCCCCTTTGTAAGCCTTAGGCATTAACAACGTTTTCAAATTCTACAAAATAAAATTGGGAGGAAAAATCTACATATCAGAAACCGACGGATCATAATAACCGTGTACATGTACTCAGGTGAGAGTTGTGGCCTCTGACCTTCTTATATTAGGAAATTGCATAGGAAAATAGCATATAATTAAAGAAATGAGAGTTTTTTTTTAATTGAATGTATTTATATCGAAAAAAATGTAAAATATTTGCTTGCATAATTGCCTACTTGTAGGCAATTTTTTCTTTCAAATATATTTATTTTAAATCTATGTACACATCTGCATACAGCATGTGATAATGGGACCTTTGGATATCATTGTATACATACATGCAGTGGAAACTGTGCAGGGGGTTCAACGTGTACCAAAGCCGATGGGACATGTCCACGAGGGTGTACAGATGGTTGGATTAATGAACGGTGCAATGAAAGTAAATTATTTATATTAAAGCAGTCTATGACATTACAATGGATAACATCAAAATAATAATAAGAAAAAGTGGTTAGAAAAAAAGTGGTGAAATTAAAGACAAAAAACTTTTACGTACATGTAAAAAGATGGATTTAAATGTGACAAATTTTTTTTGTAAAAAGAAAGATTAACTTATGCATCATTACCGATACAAAGAAAAAAATTATACTTGAAACTCATGTTTCTGAAAAAAAAACTCGATTACTTTACCATTATATATCATGGAATTCTACTTTATATCTGTCATATTGCATAAAAGCTTGTAGTAAGAAGTTTTATGGTAAAGGCTGCAAAGAAAATTGTGGACACTGTGGTGGTGCCGAATCTTGTCATCATATCGATGGATTCTGCCCCGGGCTGTGTGAACCTGGATATTATGGGAAGAAATGTAACACTGGTATATATCTTTTTTATCCATCTACTCAAGCTGTATAAATATATTAACCTCACAATTGAGCGATATTCTTCAGGTCCTACAATCTGTTCAATCATGTATACAGTATGAAAACATTGTATCAGGTTTTATTATTCTTGAACAGAATGCTACAATGGGACCTTTGGGCTGCGTTGCAATTTTACATGTAGTGAAGGTTGTGTTTCTGTCTGCAATAAGATTAATGGGTCATGTGATCATTGTCATTATGGATACATCGGAGAATTTTGCAATATTACTGGTAACGTATAATGTTTACGTATTACTTTTAGCATGCACTCTTTTCAGTGCCTTTGGTGGAAATCAATTTCCCATAATTAAAGGGCAGCGCTAAATATCTTGCACATGTTAATATAAAACGGAAACTAAGTAAGTAAATGAACTTAAACCATTCTTAGCTATCATTTTAAAAAAAAAAAAATTCTAAATATCCCACAAGCTAAATATAATAATTACAGTCAAACTTGTTTTAAGAGGCCACCTTTGGGAAGTCTGGAAAATGGCCACTTAAGACAGGTGGCCTCTTATTCCAGTTTGCCCTCGAAGAGGACATCTGGTCAATAAATAAACTACAGTTTAATTAATTAATCATAATTAAATAGTTCAATTTCACAAAAGCTTTTTATGTGTATATATAATAATTAAAGCTCATTTAAAAAGAACATTTAAGAATTCGAAATGTCTAAGGTTTTGTGCATGTTTCTGTTCCTATTAGTTAAACATCTTGCATTCATAAGTGTGCTTTTGTTACATGAATTATTTTAAAAAATCTTTCATTTGAAGAAATACATACATTGCCTGACTATTATCCTTTTTATAAAGAAAAAAAATACAGTTTAATGGTAAATAAAATAAATCATAGGAATTTAAGTAAAAATATGTCAATAAAAATTTCACTTACATATGTTAAAAAGATAGTCAGCAGTGTAACCCCCCCCCCCCCCAAACTTAATCAATCGGTAATTAACTTACTTGCTGAAGTTTATAAAGTCTGATTAATTTATTGTTTATAAAGCTGTCAGAATTTCTATATAACATGCAGACACACAAATAAAATTAACCAGTTGACCAGAGACATGTATTTACGCAGTTGAAAATCATTCCATAATACAGGTGTCAAGTGCAGTGGAGCGTGATTAATCCCAACCGATCCTCTCCTGATAGTGAAATTCACGAGATAATCATGCCATATGAAGCACTTTGTTTTTACAAGAGTAGCAATTAGGGCTTCTACATGGAATCAAAATTTAAAAGGTGTGAATTTCTTTAGCTAGAGGAAAGTATCAATTGGAATTAAATTCTTTTAATTTTTGAATCGGCGATCTTGAAAATAATAATTACAAATTGATCTAATAGGACAAATATTTTTTTTCATAAACACAGAGTTCAGCGGATCTAAAAGCAATTTCTTTAATTGCATTAATAGGTTAAATTGACTATCAAGGATATAATTACCCAAGCCAACACGGTTAAAAGATGTGATAAAATCGCAACAAGTGACGAAATGGCCGCCTATTACAGTGTCAATAAGGATGTTGGGGGAGGATTTGAGTGGCCGCTGGCCGCGTTACACAGGTGGCCATTTATTCCAGTTAAAATATATAGTAAAAGTCGTCGGGGGGAACTGAAAGTGGCCGCTCACCGCGAGTGGCCGCTAAGACAAGTTTGACTGTACATATATGTACGTTTATTACTTAAAGATATGATAAATTTCCATCTTTATATAATTGAATTTAGTTTATTAAACGGTGTTAGAAATGCCTCATGGGAATTTGCTTTTTATAGCAACATTGTTAAACCTTTATATCTTGCATAACAAGGTTGATGAAATCCAAACACTGCTTTTTGCTTTAATGTACTTATTTCAAATGTTTTCTTGATGAAGTCATGCTGTTTGTATAGAATGTAATTGCCTGATGTAATTGTGTTGTTTGTAAATTTTGAATTATTTTTAGGAAAATACTAGATGGGTTAAAAAGCCTTTGTTTTGTCCACAATATAAACATGTATAAGGAGAAAATTAAAATCAAAAAAGTATGGGGTTTTTTGGTTGCTAAATGCCCTTTTTGTTATTTACCCCCATATTGGAACGTCACCTCATATTTTTGAAAGGGGCATCATGACCATTGAGAACGGAGGTTTCTCTGCTACGACTTTTTACAACTACAGGAATTTAGTTTAAATTTGGATCTCCTTAGAAGGACTGGCCACAAGACGCGAAACGTAAATGGAGTGCACAAAAAATGTATTTATATATATTTGTATTACGTTGACATTAATTTGAAGTTACAATTCAGTTGCGGAAGTGCAGGCTCAGGAATCCACGGCAGCTGCTGCAGGAGTAGGCGCTTTCTTGTTAATACTGGTCATTATAGTCATTGTTTTAGCAGTTGTTCTAGCAAAGTACGTGAATAATTATAATCTCTCTTTTGTTATTACCGTAGATATTTTTTCTGCATTTTTCACAGCGCTTTGTATATAATAATTCCAACTGACAGAACGCATAAACATTTTCTAGGAAAGCAAGACGGAAAAAGGAGGGTGACATAGACTTACAAGAGAGAAAAGGGACATCTAACAACGGTGATATATATTAACTTTATTGTCAAATTCAATTTATATTTACTTATTTTAAAAAAAAGATCATGTAGATCAGGTTGCATTGTCGGCCTACGTTAGAAAAAGTTACAGTAAAAAAAGAGAGAAAATTTTGAAAAATTACATCGAAGCGGCAAGTAAAGAATTTTAAACATTCAGCAATGTTGTGATCATTCTCTGTATTGCTCGACGGGTATGACATTTTGTTACATGTACATAACATCACTTAACAGTAACGATTGCTTTGAATTCGATAGATATATTTTATAAAGCTTTCATTTCAGTTTTTCAAGAAAACAATATTGATGACAACACAAATAAAACTGAGAATGCTGTTCCTATAGAGGGCACAGATGATATTGAGTACATTGTCACAGATAATGGTCAAATGAAAACACTTATCAAAATAGCTGACCTTGGAAAAATAATCAAAATGTTCTCGATGGAAGAAAATAAGAAATTCACAGAAGAATTTAAGGTAAATGAAATCCATTGGAATGTTTGATTCTTAAAAAAACGATTGTTTTCTGTAATGATTAAGGCAACTTGATGTCTATTTTAGATGTAATTTAATTCATGGATTTTTAGAAAAAAAAATTATCGATATTTTCACAAATTAAACGCATTAGATAAAATAAATATTATAAATTTCATTAAGTTATAAAAAGGGAATTTGAACATGTTTAATTATTATTATTAGAAATTGGATTTTCAGATAGTTTTTTTCAGATTCGAATTTCCCCGTGGCATGTGAAATTCCGTAGAAAGGACTTTCATTTCAAAAATGATTTTTAATATTGATTGATTTTTAATGCCATTAATATGTATGTGTTTTTCTAACATTCTAAATCTTTTTTTAAAAACATTTGAATAGGCAACGTCTGAAAGGATCCTTTTGTAAAATAATCAATTTGACATGTGTTTACAATTAAAATACTGCTTTTAATTTCATAAATATAATTTAAGATATATATCCTCTTTTGTAAATTTAACATTTCAGAAGTAGATAAACGGAAACTCTTATACATGTAACCTTGTGCTTTAGAACTCGGCCTTTTTCTTATGAATATACCAAGGGTGTTAGAAATGTTTGGCTGCATCTTTGTATTTATTGTAGGGAATACCGTACGGAGAACAGCAACACATTCCATGTTCCGTGGCTAAACTTCAACAAAACATGCCGAAAAACCGATACAAGACTACATTTCCGTGTAAGTTTATGTCTCATATAATACTGTTCAACTCTGATGTGTTGATAGTTTTTTTTTTTAAAAACCAGGTAAGTTTTGCATTAAAATAATTCAGAGTCTACAAAATTCTGTCTCTATCAAATAAAAAAAAAATGAGAAGAGTGTTTTTTTTAATTATCCTTTCACAAAATTTTTTTTCTTCAAGAATGTTTCTAGCACTTTTCTATCCGTCTCTTATTCACTGACACTTTTCTGGCTATTTTGAATATCGAGATATATGATAATCGCAATATTTATCAAAATGATATTTCAATAGTAACAATGACAAATAAAATTTTTACATTAACATTTTTTAAACAATTTTTTGTTTTAAAATTACAAATTTCGGTCTTTAAAAAACATACTAACAAAGCAATACATGTATGATTAAAGAACGCAGAGACAAAGTTAATTAATAAAAATTTTATGTTTTCTTCTTTTTAAAGATGACCATTCACGTGTGGTATTGAATGTTTCTCCAGATAACGACTACATCAATGCAAATTACATTAAGGTACTTACATATATTTACTAATTATAAAAATTGTTACTTAATGTATGTGACTTCGTTTTTTATCAAACAATTTACACCAAAAAGTAGTACAACTGTAACACGTATTCAACAAAAAATATTATATCTCTTTGATACATGTGAAGAAGTTGCTACAATTTATATTCAGAAAAAATTACAATTTGTGCAAGCTGGTAAAGTGGTTCTTTCCTTTTCTTCGGACTGCAAAGTTATACCTCCTTTAAAAGATAGATAAGGACACTTTAATGTGCCTGTTGAGCGTTTAATGAATTATTCGCATAAAGATAAATGCAATAACGTTCATCATTTTATAATTATTTTTGAAAGTTACGTGATGGAAAACCTATTTTTTTCAAAATTCATTTAAGAGGGTGACTTTATAAAATCGATTATTTCGACTTGTTTATGGATAGTAAAGTGGTAAGGGTACTCGGATTTATAAAATAGAACGATAAGTTATATATAATTGTGTTTGAATATATTTATATATTATGTATCAATACACGTTTTGCAGGATGTAGAAGGGAAAAGGCGATATATTGCTACACAAGGTAATTTATTCAGTACAATGCTTTAATGCCACAGATTCTTTAAGAAATGACTGTCTAAGATTAATTTCATTTTATCCGTCTTTCGTAATATACTCTTCAAAAAAAGAAACGCATAGTAGGAACAATGCCCTGAAAAATGTATGACAGTTTTGTAATACCTTTTATTTTTGTATGGATACGATGTATTCGAGTAAAATGCATGATTTTTAAAATTAATGCAAATGTTAACTTTACAGCTATTCTACAAGTCTCACAGACAAAAAGACCTGATTTTGCAAAATTTATCCAAAAATTTTGATCTCAATTTTCATTTGTTGAATTCCGATGCAATTTCTTCAGGTACAAAGAGGCTATCAAAAGCGGGGGTTCTCGATATTTTAAATCTGGATTCATCTGAAAAATGAAGCTTCCAAAAAATGCTGCATCTGAGTGTTGCATAGAACAAAAAGGAAAATGGGCGCCTTTAAGCAGGGGTACCTCAATCTACAATTGCAAGAGGTTTTAATGTTACACACAGACCATATCTAACCTATAAAACATAAACCATTAACATCGAACACCCAACGTTCGCAAAAATATGGTAGACTACGTGTGACATCAGCAGCACAGCATCACTTCCGAGGATTACGTAAATTGCATGAATGTAATGCAAGGACGTCATCTAAAGCATTAGCTATCCCTGAACTGCACAGATCATCTAACAAGACCGTTTTCAATTGACTATGAATTATTGCAAGAGGATTATTCATGCCATTGTTCCGACCCCACAACACCCCAAATATCGACTTCAAAGATCTCAGATCAATAGAGTATGACCACAGCAACAGTGCTGAACATTTTGGTTAACTTACTAGTCCAGAATGTTTATCTGAAAGCCTCTTATAAGTTTAAGAGTGCTAATGCTTTGTAATGAATGTTAGACAGATAACTTCCTCTAGGACGTTAAAAAAGTTGGTAGTGGTGGTGTAATGATATGGAAAACGGTATTATAAGAAAGTAAAATTGATTTGGTTCGAATTCAATGGACTTTGATGGAAAAAGGTACTCAAACCATGTTCTACCTACACATACCCATTCAAGTTTGCAGCATCCTAGAGCCGTATTGCAATCTCCCGATACACAGCCACAAATGGCGCGTTTGACACACCTATTCTTGCAAAGAAACAACAACCTGTTTCAGCCACATTTATCTAAATCGCTAGATTTAATCCAAATTAAGCAGCATTGGACAAAATGGATTGACATGATTTGCCAAAGACAATCGCATCCCCAGACTCTGTAACAGTTGACCAAAGTTCTACATTTGGAGTACGAGAGCATTCCTATACAGTTTTTATTACACACATTTGCTTCCATTAGATGCCGTTTGTGGCGATCATTTGTGTCTGCGGGGGGCATACCAGATATTGATCTTTAATGGTCTTAAACTGACTATAATTTTAAAATTGTTGCGTAATTATGACATTTAGATAGTATTCTGTTGCTTACCACATTTCTGTTTTATCAATGCATCATTTTAAAAAATAATCTTCATGTTCAATGTGTCACTAGAATTCTACTATGCGTTTCTTTTTTTGAAGAGTATATATCAGTTACACATATAAACTAATATGCAGCTTATAGACAGCAGAGAAAAATATCATATTTGTATACGTACTATTTTCTATTTGAAAGTCGACCAGCTTTAAAACTACTTCCCTTTGGAAAAAATCCTCATGCAAAACCGGAGTCAGGCCTTATAGAAAAATGCCATATGATTATATTATGTTAGCTCAATCATACTGTTCACTATCTTCATTTTTCATTTGGGAGTTAAATTTGCTTGAGAGAAGCCAACAATCTAAAATGATTTATCCAAAAAAATTAACCTGAAAAATTGTTAACCCCCACGCTATCTTCAATGTAATAATTATAAGCATATCTATACATATATATGCAAAATGCGCCCCATCGATCAAAAGTTAACAATTCTCTTACTTAAGAATAATTGCGTAAAAATAAATCGAAGATGTATTTGGTTTTTTATCAAGATTTAATATCAAGAGGGCAAAATTCAAAAAAAAATAGCGCACATTTACATGAATGACCAATTCAAAGCAGAAAAATGTTTCGCATTACTAAAATTTATGGAGTTTAAAGGACAGACATTTATGCTTCGTATTTATGTACCCAAATCCATCTTTAAAATTTCAAAATGTACAGAAGGAGACTGACTATATTTTCAATCGAAACCGAAATGGCTATAAAAAATAAATAATAATGGATACAAGACTTACTAAAATAATAGATGGTAATATCATGAATATCATTTTGTTAAAGAAAAGGCGAATATGTAGCCTTAACCATTAAACTAAAAGGGTTTTATGAGGCAAATTCCATTGAATAGTTATTTGTCTATTTTATTTTTGTTAAGGACCAAGGAAAAACACAGTACAAGATTTCTGGGAAATGATTTGGCAAGAAAACATCCGGGTGATCGTCATGGTGACCAAGTTGACAGAGGGATCAACGGTATTTTATATAAAACGAAATTATATAAATATCTCAGACGCTTATAAGCATGCTTAATCGAAAGTCGTATACGCATCTTAAGCGTTGTAGAAATTATGATTAAAGTAAATTTAAAGTATAATTTAGTTAGAAATTCAATTTTTTGTCTTCAATGACAAATATCCAAAGAATTTTAAAGCTAAAACATAAAAGGTGTTCAGGTGCCATGGAGGAGTCAGTATACCAAAGAGCAAATCAATACAAGATTTAGCCATTTGATAAGTTTTACGTTTAGATTATTAATTTATTCATTCTGAAATTTTATCAACTCATTTATTACAACTTCAATATCTTCTTTTCATTTGTTTTTAACAACTGCTAATCCACTACACGAAGGTACACTTAGCAATGCAGTTTTCTCATAAGTCTAGAGAAAGCAAACATTTTCAAATGATGCTACTGCATGTGTTATTTAATTATCAATA